AATGTAGAGATAGCTTTCATATCATACAATACTTATACTTTATAACAACCATAAAAGCCTATATTATATGATTAGAATGCCAATACTATTACAATGTCAATACCATGTGAGCACAGATAAAATCAATATGTTATGAGAATGTCAGTACCAAATAATAACTTTGCCATTCCTAATCAGTTCACCATATAATCTTATCAAAGAAAATAGAAAAAACACATGTATTTTTTCCAATAATGAAGTGTCTCTTATAAGCAAATACTGAAAAAATGAGTAACAAAAATAGAGAAAAATAAAAAAGGGGGGAAATGTAAATAAAACAACAACAGACAAACCTGAACTCCTGGGATGAACTTGAGGGAGTTTGGGTTTGGTGTATCCTGGACTTTGATGAACATTGACCTTGAGGAAAGTTGTAGGGGGCAGCGTGCTGGTTGCAAGAAACCATGATAACTGCTGCCATTGTTCACTGAAGTTAAGGCAATGCTGGACCATCTTTGTGATCTTGTGTGTAATGCCGCAGCACTGGAAGAAGGCTCTGTTTGTCATTCCCATTTTTGGTGAAAAGTAAAGGATTACCTGTAGCCCTAAGTGCATCTATGAATGTAATGGTAATGGTAATGTTGAATGAAGAGGGAATGGTGCATATGGAGAAGGAGAGGATGGGATGTGTTGGGAGAGAGTGGGAGGAAAGGGGGTAGGGGGAACTTAAGGAGGAGGAGGATGGATTTCAGCAATTACTCTGAATGTAGAGGAAATAGGAATAAAGTGAATGGAGAGTGAATGAGGGAGTGGAGTATTCTCTTGGATCATGTTTAGGAAGTTTCAGATGTATTCAAGAGTTTATGGAGTGGAGTTAGGTGGGGAGGTCTGAGAAACAAAGGTTCTCATGTGAGGAGAAGAGGGGACATATGTATCAGGAGCAGAGGAAGAGGAAGTTGTAGGAGAGAATGTGTTAGGAGATGGAGCAGAACATTTAAGTTGCCTAGTGCGGCAGGTAAAATGTGAAGGAGGAGGGGTAGGGTAGGGTTCATGGAAATAGAAAGAGATTTTAGACTGGATTTAGACTGGAAAAGGAATTTGACTGGGGGACCGGGGGAGTAGGGGTAGGATGGTTCAGGGTAGGGGGAAGAGATCCTTGAGGAGATACTGAGACATCTTGAGATGATGGGAGGTGAGCAGAGTGAAGGACAGTTTTGGAATAGGTAGAGACAGAAATACCATGTTGCTGTGCTTCTTGTATGGTGTCTGAGGCCTAGCTTGGATCTGAGAACTGCTACCTCAGACTCAAGCTTATAGGCAGGGCAGCTCCTATAGAATACTTTATGGGAGCCACCTTAACTGGAACATGTATGTGACTGAGCAGGGCAATTCAAACAATCATGACCTGAGCTGTGGGGCAACAGTGTTTGGCTAGGTGACCAAAACTCCAACATTTTCTGACATTGATGAGGAAGGGGTAGATATCGTTGGACAGGGAAAGACCCTCCACCAATACGAACTTCATTAGAGGAAGTAATGTCTGTGGGAGCTAATCTTGGCAAAATTGGTGTAGGATTTATGCTGGCCTATGGAAGGAATAGTGTAACACTATACTGCCACTGCCTCATAGTCAACATAGCAAGGAAGTAGGTCATTTTCAGTCTAACCAGTTCTTGTTGTAGATGGGACAATAAGTCAGGAGACAGAAACAGTACAGGTACAAGTATTAAGAGAGGAGCGAGGTTCAGCAGAAATAAGTTTACAAGTGAGGTCAGTCAGAGTAGATAGTGCACCACCTTGGGACTCACATGTAACTGTGACAAGGCTTGTACCATTGGAACAACTGCAAAAGGAAGGGGGTAAACAATGGAGAAAACTGTGCAGTAGGAGATGATGTGGAGAATGTTGGGAGAGAAGAAGGGGTGCTTTCTAAAGGTTGAGTAATGACCTGGGTGGGTGAGTTGTCAGTAAATATCAAAGTAGGAGTATTAATATGTGTGCCTAGAGCCATTGTCAAAGAGGCAGGGCTCAGGAAAAGAGTGAAATAAAATTTAGATAGGCTAGTTGGTGAGGGGCAAGCCTTAATGCCACTAATAAAGATAAAAAAAAATTATTATTGGCCATGGTGAGCATGAAATAAGTTTGGAAAAATAATACTGTGCCTAAAGCTCCTGGAGGCCGTTCATGACTGACACAAAGCCAACCGTTTATCCTTTCAGCGTGGACTGAAGAGAGAGAAAAAGGAAAGGGAGAGAAGAGCATGCAAAATCAGATGAGGTGTGGACTGTGGCCCAAGGTAATGGTGATTCCCCACCTTGGGCCTCAGTATTCATCTTCTAAGCCCCCCACAACAATGAGCAAGGAAATGGGGGGGCATGGTAGGAAAAAAGAAAACACACACACACACACACACACACACACACACACACACACACACACACACACACACACACACACACACACACACACACCACACACACATACACACACACACACACACACACACACACACACACACACA